GCTCGCCGTCTTCGACCTTGAGCTTTTGGCCTTACTTCTTTTTACAAACCCCCAGGTTCTTTAGGACTTTCCTGGACTTTTCAGGATTTGGGTTCTTAGGCTGGCGTGTGGCACCGCTATCACATCAGTACGCATGAGATGGCGTGCGTGTGTGTGGGTGTGTGATAAAGTGTCTGATGATGTGATGAACAAGGATGAGAGGGACGAGAGGGACGAGAGAGAGAGAGAGAGAGGGAGAGAGAGAGAGAGAAAAGGAGGCGGAGAGAGATGTTTGGAGGCCGTGGATTTTGCCATCAGATCCGCATGCGACCTTCAAAACGTAACACACTCGAAACGACCATCAAAGCTATCAAGTGGTCTTATCCCGACCACGGCGGGCAGTGTTAGCAGGATGTAAAGCAAGAAGAGGTGAGACACGCTTTTTTTCTCTCACACAGAGATGTAGAGTGAGCTCCAGGCAGGACCTGAGCTCCGGTCAACTCGCACGAACAGTGAGTATATATTTGCAACACTGAAGGCGGAGGCTAGCACAAAACATCAGAAGTGTCGATGTCAGAAACGAACTTGGTCAGTGTCAATTCTTTTGAGAAACGAACTCCGTCAGTCGTTATGCAACGCAAGGCAGCGTTGTTTTCGACTCTTTTCGCAGCAGTGTATCGTCACAGTCTGTCCAGCTCGTCACGTCGACTCGCCGGCATGCTAGCTCACAGTTCTTGAACTGCAGCAAAAATGCGAGGTCTTACAAAGGAATTTAGGTTCTTCTCCCAAGTACGCAATGCCCAGAAGACATGCGGCCGATGCTTCCAGGGGTGAAGCGTGGGACGGGCCGTCAACAAGCTCTGCACAGCCGCTTCCGCGGAGAGCTGACGACGAAAGATCAACCACGCGCACAATGCCGCTGAGATGCGGTTGACCCCGCCGAAGCAATGAAAGATGATGCCTCGTTCTTCTCGCTGAGTCGTTGCCTTCAAGTGCTTCAGAAGAGCGCAGCACATGTCCATCCACGATGACAACCAGGCATTTCCCACTTCTTGACAAAAAGTATTGGTGTCATCCAAGTATGTTCTGGGACCGTCCACGTCGAACGTAAACCACCGAATCTGGAGGTCTTCAAACCACGCTTGCCAGCCCACCTTTGGCTGCCCACGAATACGTTTCATCTCCCGCGGACAAAAGCTCAAGACAACCGACACCTTGCGATAGGAAAGTAGGACAGTTTCCTGGTGGGTCCGGAGATGGCGACAGGCAGCCGAGCTCCCGAGAAAGTAGATCTCAGGCGGTTCCAAAGACATCATCTCCCCAGGAAGTATTTCACAGATGTCATTTGGCCAATCTGAAATATCACCGAAGTGATACTGGTGCGCTGCCAAAAGCCGGTCGAGTGTTGGCTGATCCTCGATCGGCATGTCCAAACTGCTCTCAATCATCCGTTGCAAAGCAGCGCAGGCAGCAGACATCGCATCGTGGTATGGCTCCATGTTGCACGGGTTACGTGTTTCGAGCCGGTGACAACACTGGGCACGTAAATCACAATGGCAGAAGCGCAGAGACGGGCTTCACAAACGCCCTCGCCGCAGCATTTACACTGCGCTTTTTGATCTTCTCGCAGCAGCGTATCGCCATAGTCTGTCAAGCTCGTCACGTCGACTCGCCAAACCAGAGCGGCTGCGCTAAAGCGATCCAAGTATGCAAAAGTTTGATGAGATGCTCGTCACGTCGACTCGCCAAACCAAAGTGGCTGTGCTGAAGCGATCCAAGTATGCAAAAGTTTGATGACATGACACAGTCGCCCGCGATCATAGATCACAGACGATCAGTGGCTCAACCAGCAACAAGTCTGATCAGCACATGTCTTATCACGGTGCCAGTACGGATTCCATCGGCACATCGCCGCTGTGCCAGGCATCGCTGTGACGTTCCTGCTCGGGCATCCCGTCACGCAGACCTCGTAGGCGCTTCAACGGCGTCTCCCAATCCTTGTCAAACTGAAAGCCTGCATCTTTGGATTCAGTGGCGCTGAGAAATTCCCAGAAAGCTGTCACTTCAGGAACTCGTTCTTGCACGACCGGCACATGCCACAAAACCAAGTATTCTCCAAAACTGTCGGTCTGGCCAAGGACAACTTGGAAGACTTGACCTGCGGATCCTCGGAGCATCCAGCTCACGGCCGAAGAAGGGCCAGCGCAACGCAGCTTGGCCCGAAAAGGCATGTCCGAAGCGCGCTGCGACAACAGGCAATCCACAGACCTCTTGACACGAATGGCCGAGGTCGTGTTTGGGTCCTGCTGCAAAGCTTCATCATCTGCCAAGTCGACCTCGTTGAAGGCAACCAAAGCCCGCATTGCGGTGCAATCGATATGCCCAAAGGTAAACATTCCCAGGTCTTTGTCTTCTGTCACATCACGAAGGGAGACCACCGGACAGCCTGCGTGCATATGATGATGTGTCACTGGGCGTTGCAACAGCTCCGGTGAGGTTGCGGCAACTGCTTCACGTGTTGTGACCAAACAAGGTTCCAGATGCCGAAGATCAAGTTCCAGCACTTCTTGGTATTCATTTCCACGGAATGTGAAACGACAAGTCCATTGAGCACTTTGAAACATATCACGAAGCTGCGTTCTCAAAGTCCGCGTGTCCTGCAACGATGTGGTCAGCTCAACGTTCAGCAGCTTGGCAACAGCCAAAATACCTTCATGATAGATCATCAGGCTGCACTGTGCATTCGAGTCTGCCACCGTGAGTCGCAGAGCAAGTCGACGCTCCGTTGGCGCAGTGGCGTGCGCCTGCATCGCTTCGGAACCAGTTTGACATAGTTGTGGAAGATTATAAAGAAAGGTTATAAACATGGACCAAACGAAACCGTCAAGAAGAAAAAGAAATATACACACCATTCTCCAACCAGGCCTGACATGGAGCCGCACGATTGCAAGTACTGCAGCTGTCCAGAATCCATTCATCGGTTTCGGAACGCACCGACGTGATCCCCATGACCTGTAGGCCAACGACTTCGAACACAGTCTCCACTTTCCTCAACGCTCCGGGGACGATGACGCCCATGAGAGCACTCAACGAGGTCGCAACAACTGGACAGTTCTTGTAGTCCTTGACGGGAACATTGGTCAACATCCGGCAGGCCTCCTTGTCAGCCAAAGTTGCGGTCCTAGGCATTCACACTATACGAGGCCACAACATCTGTAACTGTCTAGGCGATACACAGCAAACCAAAGATACCCCATGTATTCAAAAGCAAAACCAAGAGACATCTGATCTGCCAAATCGCGCGGACAGGGCAAAATCTGCGTTCCTCGCCAGGAGCCGAGTTCCCACGAAGCCGCGTCTCCAGCTTTCTTGGACACGAGCACCTGATACAACAGAACACAAGAGTTCACAGCCACAGCGGCCAACTTATCTGCCATCTCTCTCCAGAAGGCACACCTCACACGCGTCGTCCCTTCTTGGATGACGGCATTGCACACCGACAACGGGCCATTGCCAGTCAATCTCTCAGTGCTTCCAGGATTTTCCACCACCATGGCCTTGACACAGATGTACTGTCTGTCGCGCACACGCGATAAAGACTCCAACCGCGCCAGCGGGTGTGTCATTGGCGGCGAGGGCCAGGGGAGATTTCGTGAGTTCTAATGATAACTTGCACCCCCAGAGCTCCTTTCAAACGCACATGGTAGTGCAACCTCGATGTTGAAAACTGTTGGGCCGCATGTTGAATCTCGCCGCCCGCAATACTGATCAAAGCACCCTCAGCAAATTTCTTGGCGACTTGCTCTGCCAGCTCTCCCCAGGCTTCGACATACAGAACTTCCGAAGGACTCTCCGTCGCACTGACACGCAACTCAAGCTTCGTGTTTGTGGCAGGTTTGGCCTTGCCTGTTCGACCAGTCTTGCCTTTGGAAGGCGTGCTCAAGGTCTTCTCCTTTGCTTTCACATCCTGCATCGTGCAAATGACAACACGACCGGCCACAGCAGTTTGCGCCGCGCCCTGAAACTCCGAAGGCTTCAACAGGACAAGCGATGTCGGAGCCGTCATGACAGGGCAAGGTCAACAGATATGCTTGTGGTGGTTTGACACAAAACTGCTCATTTCAGGTGAAAGTCAGCGCGCCCCGATGCTCATACAAAGGTGGCCGAAAATTATCTGGACGCCTGTCGACGGTCGGCTATCTCTCCACTCAGCTCGCGACCACGACGGACTACAGAGGGCGACGCCTCAGCAGTGACATCTGGAAAAGACAAGTAACCCGGCCGAAACACCTGCTGCCGAAATCGTCACAAGAATACAAGGTCCGCCGATACTTGACACAAAACTACCCGCATCAGCAATGTTTCTCTTAGCGCGTCTCCGCGCTGAGCTCGTGACGACAAAGGATCATGGAGGGCGACACCTGGGCAGCGTCTGTATAACAAGATAAGTAACCCGACTGAAATAATTGCAGACAACTGAATCCATGGCTATCCGTAGACAAAGTAATTAATCATTTTTTCTCGTTTTGCTCGCGTTCTCGCGATCGAGGCTGCATCTGGCGATTCGTCACGTCGACTTACCGTCAGTGCATTGCCAGTTCACGCGGTGTCACCCTCCATAAGAAGGCAAGACCGGTTGAGCTTGTTTCAACCATCTGGTTTTGGGCAGAAAGTACCCAACCACATGCGCCCATTCCACCACCAGAGCGTCTAAATTCAAATCCTCAGTTCTCAGGTCAGTGAATCCGAAAATGTGCTTGTTGGATGCCTCTTTGGCCAGCCAGAGGAGGCGCCGCTTCATGAGCTGGATGAACTCATCAACCTTCACCAGGTGTTGCGCCAGTGGAGACAGAGTGTCAAAAACGGCATGTGGCTGCCCAGTCGTCTCATCTTGCATTCTGCGGGCCTGTCTCTGAGCCCATTGGTCGATGTTTTTTGCGTGTTTCGTCTGGATTCTGTCCATCGCCGAGTAGTGTTTCCACAACAGCTCATGCAGAAATTTGAAAATCCAGAACATGGAATGATACCGGTACGGTGGCATATGTTTCCATTTTGTCTTCTGCATCTTGTGCGATGTTGCGTCCTCCAAATGCTGCTGCAACGGATAACTCTGTGTCTTTGGAGGATAATGATACTGGTTACCAGCTCTGTCTTCGAAGGTTTCATAGTAGTTCAGCCCTGTCTCAGGGAGAACCGGCAACAACATCCCATATCTCGTGCAGAGGTGATGCCAACGACTCCACTGATCTTGATCCTTGGAAAGCAGGTTTCCAGACTCCACCGTCATACCCATCCTGGATTCCAGAACGAAACCAGCACACACCTCGCAAAGTGGAAGATCGAGATTCTGACCACGCAGCTCCAAAAATGTTTTCGCGTCCGCGTACTGCTGGATCAAGGCTGTATCAACCAACAGACCGTGGATGTATTTCGGAAAGAAGCAGTCCAGTCGAGTCTGCAGCATAGGTTTTCCGTGCGCACAAACATCTGCCGAGGCGTCCACGACAGTCGCACGCACCGATGTCAACCAATCGTACGTCAGATGCTGCGCTGCAAGCAAGGACCGCATCGGACCCCATGCCAGCATATACTCTCCGATAAACGTGTGAGTAAATCCACGCCCGTGTTCCGCTGCTCGGCGTCCTCACGTGTAGCGTCCTGCAGGCTACAAGAAACATATATTTACAACACTCCGAACAATCCCATGCGTCCTGTTCTTGTTCTCGGTCTCTGACCGAAGCAGGCAGATCACTACGATACGCCTCGTGAATGTCATCGTCCTACAGGCTACAGGAGACATAGATCTACCGCATGTGGCACAATCGCATGTGTCCTGTCGTCGTTGACTAACACGACGCGACTCATCAGCCTGAGGACCCAAGACATCCACGTAGAGTAAATCAAAACATGTATGAGTCCCCGACCGAAGCAGGCAGATCACTGCGACACGCATCGTCAGTGCCACCATCCTACAGGCTCCAAGAGACATAGATCGACTACACCCAGAACAATCGCATGTGGCCTGTTCTTGTTCACCAACCAGAAGCGACACACCGGTCTGAGGCGCCCAAGACATCGACGTATACAGCAAATCAAAACAGTGTCCGAGTCCCTCACCGACGCAGGCAGATCACTGCGACACGCCTCGTTCGTGTGACCCACCACCACTGCGGCGGTGCGGCCCAGCGAATCCACTGCCTCGCTCCAGCGTCCAAGGCAGTACTTGGGTCGGCATAACTACGGTTATATCTCCCACCTGTTGTGGTCGCTTTCGTGGCGCCGCCTGAGGCATCACATGACATCCATAGCTGCAGGAGAACCAAAACCACAAGCAACCAAAGTACGAACCTGTTTCGTCTCATCTCGTCGTTCCAGTCGAAGACTCGGGGTCACCTACGTCGATGGTCAGATGATGTCACTGTCCACGACGCAGAGCACAAAACTTCTAGGTTCCCACTCGTTTGCGAAGTCGCGGGTCATCACCAGGAGCCTGATGGAAACGATATGACCACAAAAAGACCATTTGTGCTCATATCGCGGTCCTAGTTTATAGATTCCAAATCCTGCAACATCCAAGAAACGATATGACCACAAAACGGTTATTTGTGGTCGTATCGTGGTCACGGTTTTTATATCAGAAATCCTACAAAGCACAAGAAACAATATGATCTCAAAAAGACATGCCTCTTTCGTCGTATCGCGCTCCCAGTTCTTATATCACAAATCATCCAAAGCACCAGAAACGAAATGACAACCAAAAGGCTATTTATGGTCGTATCGCAATCCGTGTTTTTAGAGTCCAAATCCTGCAAACGACAAGAAGCGATACGACCACAAAAAGGCTATGTGTGGTCGCGTCGCGATCCTAGTCTTTAGATCCCAAATCCTGTAAAACACACAAAACGATATGACCACATAAAGGCTATTTGTGGTCATATCGCGGTCCTGGTTTTTATATCACATATTCTGCAAAGCCCAACAAACGATATGACCACAAAAAGGCTATGTGTGGTCGCATCGTGGTCATGGTTTTGTCTCACCGGTCGCATCGTGGTAATGGTTTTTGTCTCACCAGTCCTACAAGGCACAACAAACGATATGACCACAAAAAGCCTATTTGTGGTCGCATCGCGGTCCTAGTTGTTCGATCCCAAATCCGGCAAAACCCAATAACGACCACAAACAGGCGCGCTTGGTTCAGCCTGCGACGAGACCATTGTCGAACCAGCCTGAAGCAGTTGTCCGACGATCCAAAACGCAGTAACTCCTCTGAGTGGCAGACCGCCTGTCCATAAGCACTTGCTGCCTGAAGAAAAGAGTTATCACAGACAACTTCAAGTAACACTACAAGGTAAACTATCATAAAGAAGCACCTCTGAGTGACAAACATCCTCTGGGCGCGCAATTGTTCCAGCCTCTGAGGAGACCGTTGTCAATCCGGCCTCCAACGGTTTTTGGACGATCTGAAAAACAGTAACTCCTCTGAGTGGCAGACCGCCTGTCCATAAGCACTTGCTGCAGTGGGAGAAGACACTACATCCGCAGACCAACAAGCTTGGCTCTGTGCCTGCAGAAAAGAATGACAGCACAGCTCCAAGCAACAGTACAAACTAAAACATCACAAGCAAACAACTCTGAGTGACAGATATCCTCTGGGCGCATCGCAGCAGGTCTCACCACGTCCACTTCTTCCTTTCAAAAATATCGCCATAATCGATACAACAAATCCCATCCAGATCTTGCAAACACCGTCGTCCGTAAAAGAAATCCTAAGTGTCACACGCGCTCGTCACGTCGACTTGCCGCAGAAGAAGCGACCCGCGGAGCCTCAAGAGATGTTCTCTAAGTTGCATGACAACAGACAGCTCCAAGCAACACTGCAAACTAAAACATCACAAGCAAACAACTCTGAGTGACAGATATCCTCTGGGCGCATCGCAGCAGGTCTCACCACGTCCACTTCTTCCTTTCAAACATATCGCCACAATCGATACAACAAATCCCATCCAGATCTTGCAAACACCGTCGTCCGTAAAAAAAATCCTAAGTGTCACACGCGCTCGTCACGTCGACTTGCCACAGAAGAAGCAACCCGCGGAGCCTCAAGGTATGTTCTCTAAGTTGCTTCATGCACGAAGCAAACTCAGGCTATACGACAAAGCCAAGCTTCGCGCGGAAGCCATCCGGTGTGATGGTCCATTGATTCAAAAGATGCTCGTTGACGATCCTGATCAACGTATGACCTCCACAGCCATACTTGTCTGCTCCCATCTTCAAGTGCTTCCCACCTTCATGCCAACATTTCTCGAACGTGGGATGAGTAATTCTGGTGGACTCCACATCCAGATCAATCAGGTACCAGCTGCTGGTTCTTGGGTTCCACGTCACATTGTCCATGTGCATATCGACGTACCAAGGAATACCTTTCTGGAAAGCTGCGTGACTCATATCGACCAGCTCGCAGAGCCACTTTTTCACCTCCACGTCGATCGCCTCATCCGATGCAGGGGAGTCTCGTAATAGTTGCAGACGTCTTTCAAACGTCTCTCCTGCATCCGACGATTCACCTGTCACTGCTGCAGCCAACAAAGCCGGTAAACGAGCCAACAAGGCCCCCGGGGCTGAA